AAGAGCCTTTTGTGAAGGACTTTGTAAAAGGCTTTCTGGAAATCTAAGTACACTCTATCCACTGGATCCCCTGTGTCCACGTTTGTTTGACACCCCCCCTCCCCCAAAAAAAGAACTCTAGCAGATTAGTAAGGCATGATTTTCCTTTACAGAACCCATGTTGAATTTTCCCTAACAAATTATGTTCATCTCCGTGTCTCACAATTTCATTCTTTACTATAGTTTCAACCTATTTGCCTGGTACTGATGTTGTACTTACTGGTCTGTAATTGCCAGGATCACCTCTAGAGCCCTTTCTGAATATTGCTGTCACATTAGCTATCTTCCGGTCATTAGGCATGGAAAGGATAGGTCCCAAACCCCTGTTAATAGTTCCACAGTTCACATTGGAGTTCTTTCAGAACTCTTGGGTGAATGCCGTCTGGTCTGGGTGACTTGCTACTGTTAAATTTATCAGTTTGTTCCAAAACCTCCTCTAATGATACCGCAGTCTGGGACAATTCCTCAGATTTGTCAACTAAAAGGAATGGCTCAGGTTTGGGAGTCTCCCTAACATCCTGAGCCGTGAAGACTGAAGCAAAGAATGAATTTAGCTTCTCTGCAATGACCGTATTGTCTTTGAGGGCTCCTTTGGCCTCTTGATCCTCCAATCTGTACCATGAGGCTTGTTATGGTTACATTTTTGTTAAAATTGATTGAAATATAAGCAGTTTAGAAAACTGATTTAAAGCCATAATGTGAAATAAGCTTATGTTACGTTCAGACTGAAATTGAGTGGAGGAACATGCTGTTGCTAACAAGAAAATACTTCTGATCTTTCGAAGTGCACATCTAATTGTATGCACTGACACACAAACTTGGAACTGAGCACGCATGATAGGGGTTGCGTGGGACAGCAAAGACACTTTTTGTTTAAATTAAGGTTGATATTTTTCATTCATTTAGTCAACTGAGCTACTATGATATTTTTTTCTTTCTATCCTATTTAATCTTCAGGGCTACCTCACTGTAGTCTGGGAATCTTTGTACAGTTCTTCAGGTCTCCTGAGACCCTCTTAATTTCTGTTTCTGACTTCCAGCCACAGTTTTCTCTGTTTTGTTGCTCAGATTGATCCAGTGAAGATTAGAGTTTACTGTGAAGAAAAACTATTGCTGTAACATCATTATATCTTGCGTAGCACGTGGGAAGCCTCAGGAAAATGTTCCCTTGGTCAGTCTTAAATAAATTATGGCTGTGTTAGTTAGTTCATGGCAGGAGAGGCATTGAATCTATACATTAGAATTACCCAGGAAAGGTATCAGAATGGGTTGTTAACTTTAAAGGCCAATTCAAAGGGGATTTGAGAAATGGTTTGTCAGTTCCTTAAGATAGGACACCAGGCTACATCTGAGTGTATATTTGGCTTGGACTGAAGGTTTGTTTTCACTCAAAGTAAGACACTTTTTTAATAAGGAACTCTTTGGGGTTCAGAGCTACCGGTGATAGACAATTTTGCATGCTCGAATGTGATGAATCCTTTAGCTGCTTCCTGACAGTAATGGTAATGCATTACTGGACAGGTGGCAAACCGTCCACCATACCATGTCGATAACATGTATTGCATAGTTTGCTATTGGACTTCAAAAATTCTTCTTGTTTAGTTTTCCCATAGAATATAAGGGTACGTCTAGACTACATGCCTCTGTTGCCAGAGGCATGTAGATTAGGCTACCCGACATAGTAAAATGAAGCGGCGATTTAAATAATCGCCGCTTCATTTAAATTTACATGGCTGCTGTGCTGAGCCGACAAACAGCTGATCAGGAGGCATACCTGGGTGGTCGACAAATACCTTTGTCGACGCCCGCGCGTCCAGACTATTGCGCTGAGCCAACAAACAGCTGATCAGCTGTTTGTCGGCTCAGCGTGGCAGCCATGTAAATTTAAATGGAGCGGCGATTTAAATCACCGCTTCATTTTACTATGTCGGGTAGCCTAATCTACATGCTTCTGGCGACAGGCATGTAGTCTAGACGTACCCTAAAAGAAGGATCATGGAATCACTGAACTGCAAACAACCTCTAGAGTCCAATCTCCTGCCCTCATGACAGAACCAAGCATGGTCTAGATCAGTGGCTCCCAAACTTTTCGGCATCATGCTCCCTTTTTGATTTTTGAGAGACCCTCACGCCCTCCCCCACCCCCCAAATAGCAGCAAAACTTGTTGAGCAAAAAAAAAAAAAAGGAACTGACCAGGGCAGTAAAACTTGATGGCCGCTATGTGCCCCCCCTGGAATTTCTTCATGCAGCCCCAGGGGGGCACGCCCCCCAGTTTGGGAACCCATGCAAGTGTAGGGACCAGTCAGTGCAGGGTCTACATGGCCACAGAGCATGTGGCAGCAAGAGCACAGTAGGTGCACACTCCGATTTGCCATTCACGGCCTCTCTGTGCGATGAGCCCTTTGTTACCTGCCCAACGTCAGACAGTGAGGCCTTGATTTGAGACTGCACTTAGGCATGTGTTTGCATCCATCTTTACACATTAAAGCAAAGTCTCATAAACAACAATGGGACTTAAAGGGTGTGTCTACACAGCACCCTTAGCTCGAAATAAGCTATGCAATTTGTGCTATGCAAATTGTGTTACATATTTTGAAATAGCTTATTTCGTAATTTGGCACTGTGTACACAGCACCAAATTTCAAAATAACTTGCTTTTCCACTTTTAGATATCTGAAAACCACTATCATGTCCCCTCTCAGTCTTCTCCTTGCCAGACTAAACAAACCCAATTCTTTCAGTCCTGTTGCCCTTTTCTGGATTTTTTTTTTCGGGCTTGTTTACATCTTTCCTAAAATGCGGTGCCCAGAACTGGACACACCACTCCAGTTGAGGCCTACTCAGCGCAGAGTAGAGCAGAAGAATTACATCTTGTGTTTTGCTTACAACACTCCTGCTAATAAATCCTGGAATGTTTGGGTTTTTACATGTCGTACTGTTGACTCATACTTAGCTTGTGGTCGACTGTGACCCCTAAATCCCTTTCTGCAGTGCTCCTTTCTAGGCAGTCGTTCCTAAGTCAGAGCGCTTTGCATTTGTCCTTATTGAATTTCATCCCATTTACCTCAGACCATTTCTCCAGTTTGTCCAGATCGTTTTTAGTTATAACCCTAGCCTCCAAAGTGCTTGCAACTCCTCCCCGGTTGGTAACATCAGCAAGATTTATAACTGCTCTGTGCCATTATCTAAATTGTTGATGAAGTTACTGAACAACAGTTCTGAACCCAGAACCGATGCCTGCAGAACCCCACCCATTATGCCTCTCCTGCATGAGTGATAACTACTCCTCCACCAGTTATGCACCCACTTTTAGAGTAAATCCCTCTAGGTTGACTTCCCTAGCTTGTTGTTCAGATCATGTGAGACTGTATCAAAAGCCTTACTAAAGTCTAGCTATACCACATCTACCACTTCACCCTTATCTGCAAGGCTTGTTATCCTGTCAAAGAAAGCTATCTGGTTGCTTTGACATGGTTTGTTCTTTACCATGCTGGCTGTTGCTTTATCACCTTGTCTCTCAAATGTTTGCAAATGGATTCCTTAATTATTTAGTTCATCATCTTTCTAGTACAGAAGTTAATATGACTGATCTGTAATTCCCTGGGCTGTCCTTATTTCCCTTTTTTATAGATGGACACTGTTTGCCTTTTCCAGTCTTCTAGAATCTCTCCCATCTTCCTTGACTTTTCAAAGATATTCGCTAATGACTCTAATCTCCTTAGTCAGCTCCTTGAATATCCTAGGATGTGTTTCATCAGACTCTAGTGACTTGAAGGCATCTAGCTTGTGTAAGAAATGTTTAATTTGTTCTTTTCCTATTTTAGCTTCTGATCCTTCCCTGTTTTCACTTGCATTCACTATCTTAGGCTATTTGCTAACAGACTTCTTGGTGAAAACCGAAACAAGTCATTAAGCACCTCTATCATTTCCACATTTCCTGTTGTTTTTCCCTCTTCATGGAGTAACGGCCCTACCCTGTTTTTAGCTGTCATCTTGCTTTGAATGTATTTATAGAATTATTTATAGAATGTTCTTGTTACCCTTTGTCTCCTAGCTAGTTTGAGTTTTTCTGCCACGGTCTTTCTAATTTTGCCTCTACATACTTGTGGTCTTTATATGGCTTATATTCATTCTTTGTAATTTGACCCAATTTCCACTTTTTTGTAAGACTTCCTTTTGGTTTTTTAGATCATTCAAGATTTCCTGGTTAAACAAAGGTGGATCTCTGTGGTACCCTGATTTTTAGCTGTTTGTTGTGAGGGGACTCTCCTAAATTGACCATGGTAGTGAATATGGAGATTAGCTGGGTAGGGATGAGCAGAATTAAAAGCCACAACATATAATGCATCTTTCTGGAGCAGGAATTAGCCAAATTATATGGTTTAAGCGACTTCCCAAAGAACCTCAGAATGTTTGCCAAAGAAGGCAGTTTAAAAAAAGTAAGTGTTTACTTGAAGTGGCTTTATGTGGGGCTCCTCTCAGTATGGTGTGTAATTTCTGTTCACTAACTGGTTTCTCTCACTCTTCCGAAGAGACACGCTCAGGATCCCAAGAATGGTGTAAAACTAGGGGCTGGAAAGGGTGGGCAGAGGCAACTGAAAGAATATTCTTGATGCTGTGGCATTTTCTCCACTTTATCTAGCACAGAAGATACTACAGGTTGCAGATCACCTGCTGCATCTGGAATGTCCCTTCTCTCTTGTCCGTTACTCTTCAAGGGTTCGTGTAGCTGCAAACGTGAAATGATTTTGTTCGATTTTTGGCTCCCTTCAGGCTGGTTGTGCCTGAAATTGAGTGGTGCGTTGGGCTGGCCTCCGCTGACGAAGGGAGGGAGAGAACGGATGTTTGCCTACTGGTTTTAGGAAGATGCAGCTTTTATCTTCAATGCTTTTTACGTAACTTGCTCATTCTGAGAGCCGTTTCTTAGTGGGGTTGATGATTTCCCTCTTTTTCTCCCCAGGGGACACTACACAGAAGATGAGCTCTGCACAGTATCCTACCCCAGCAGAATTGGATGCTTATGCTAAGAAGGTTGCCAACAATCCACTGACTATAAAAATTTTTCCAAACAGCGTCAAAGTTCCCCAGAGGAAACACGTACGCCGTACTGTGAATGGACTTGATACTTCAGGCCAGAGGTATAGTCCGTACCCCTCCCCCCCCCCCCCCCCGCCACAAAGACAGGCCTGCTTGCGATAGTCAAATCCCCAGCGAAAGGCATCGTTAAAGACTTTGACGGCACGCGCGTCCGTCTGCTGCCAGAAGCAATGATGAATCCCCCTTCCACACCGTACGTTGCACCTAGCACTTTAAACCACGCCCCATCGCTTGCTCGCCAGCAGGCACTTCAGCATGCACAGACTCTGCCACACCCCCAGAGTATCCCACAACCACAGACTTTGCAGCACCAAAGCTTAACACACCCTCAGGGGATCCCGCAGCCACAGCCGCTGCCGCACCCTCAGAACATGCAGCAGCCCCAGAGCCTGCAGCATCCTCAGACCATGGCACATCAGACTCTGCAGCACCCCGCAAATGCTCTGCTGCAGCCAGGTTTACATGGCAGCAGAAAGATGCCCGATGCAGATGCGCCGCCGAATGTGACCGTGTCTACCTCAACCATTCCCCTCTCGATGGCTGCCACGCTGCAGCAGAACCAGCCACCAGACCTGAGCAGCATTGTGCACCAGATTAACCAGTTCTGCCAGGCCAGAGCTGGCATTAGCACTACCTCAGTATGTGAGGGACAGATTGCAAACCCGAGCCCAATCAGTCGCAACCTGCTTATCAATGCAAGTACCAGGGTGTCTACTCACAACGTTCCCACTCCCATGCCTTCCTGTGTAGTAAACCCGGTCGATCACGCTGCTGCTATCCCTCCTCCTGCCTCTCTCAGCGTGCCCATGGTGAACATCAGCAGGGTGCCAGCTGCCTACCAGAGCGACATGAAATCCGTGGCATGGAACCAGCATCAGCTTGCGCATCTTCAGCAAATGTGTGGGGATGCTGCCGGGCCCGCTGGCCTTGCGGGGAAGCACCCTCCGAGAGAGATGGCAGGCCAGGGCTTCCCGGGTAAAACGTCCAGCTACCCTCAAGAACTGTGCATGGGCCAGTCTTACAACGTCAAGCCCCCTCTTGAGAAGCCCACCCCTTCCCCGCCTGTGAATGGCTTTCAGGGACCTTTGCCATATACGAATGGGCACTACTTCCAGCCCCTCTGGAATAGCATTCTGCCCACACCGAACAGTGACAGCTCTGGCTCCCAGGACCTTGCCATGTCTTTTCACGGAGGACAGCCAGCAGGGGCGCCGCTGGATTGCGCGGCAGGAGCTCACTATCGAGCTGCGGCTGGTTCGTCCAGCCAGAATAGCGTGATGCAGACCATGGATTACCTAAGTGGGGACTTCCAGCAGGCTTGCTTCAGAGATCAGAGCATGGCCGTGCTGGGAAAAGTCCATCGGCCTCCCATGAACCGAGCGCCTGAACCAACCGATAGTCGAAATCTTCATATTCAGCACCCAGGGTATAGATAGGCTGCAGTCACTTTCACAGATAAAATTAGAGGTTTAGTCTTAATTTTAACTAATCAGCAAAGTATTTTTAATTTGCAAACTTGCGTGATCATTATAATAACCATTGAAACAAGATGTAATGTGTATTTAAAAGCTTTACATCCACATTCACGCCTGCTAGCATCAAAAACGTAACCCGCCTTTTGTTTCAAAGAACTTGATTATACTACAGGTTGAACCTCCCTAGTCTGGCACACTTGGGACCTGAGCGGTGCCAAACCAGAGAATTTGCCAGACTCTGGGAGGTCACTATTATCTAGCAGCATCACCAGCACTTCCACTGCTTCCTGGGTTCTCAGAAGACATCTAGGGGTAAATTCGAGCTAAAGAACAGCACAGAACTCAGAGCCAGGACTGGTGGCTGAAAAACTTTATGGGACTGTGAGAAACTCAGCCCCATCCACGAGCTAGGTAGCATAGATGCCTAAGTCTCCATCTGCATTTCCTCTGAAGATTAAGAGCAACAGAATTTGTCCGGAGTGGGGTGCATTTTCAACTCTAAAGTCTGTTTCATGAAATGTGTTAGATATTGACCATTTGCACTGCCGAGGGGCTTATTTCGTTGAAAGGAACCCTGTGTTTGAAAGGATTTAGTTAGGGTTCTATATTTAGACATTTGTGTAGGAAGAAGCTCTTTGCTAGAGCCTGCAGAGAGTTCTGCATTTCTCTCATGGCATGTCGGTCTGTGTCCAGAGCCAAAAGTCCCTCCAGTCTTCTGGATGCTTGGTTGAGGACAGGGTATGGGAGTAGGGCACATGGCTGCCTGCTTCCCTCTTGCTTTGTTTCCACGTCACGGTCTGAACCCCTTGCTGCTAGGAATCTGGATTTCCTGATGCAAAGTGCTGCATTGAGGCTTTATTCCAGGAATCTAGACCCACTGACGACCCCAAAAAGGTTCCGTTACTGCTCCAGTAGATATTTAGCGTAGTTAGAAGTCTGTCTCCCCTGCAGAGGTCAGGGCACGCAGTGACTGGCATGGCATTCACGGTCCGACAGCAATGAAATGAAGCTCTAGCCATGAGACACGGTGGGACTTGCAGCCCATGTATGTTAAAGCACCACCATAGACAGAACTGAACAGTTCTTATCTGTGCCTAACTACTACTCTGTCCTCCCCGTGTCACTTAAAGCAGCTCAGTGAATTGGTGGCCACTAGAACACTAACTGTTGGAGAACCTCTGGGTCTCATCATCTTCAGCATGTTGAAACATCCCTTCTTTTAAAGCTACAGTTCTTGTAAGGTTGTTTCCCATCTCTGTAAATGAGACTAATACTTGAACATAATGATCACAGTCAAGTTTGGAAGTTAAAAGTAAATGCATTGATTCTTTCTATGTACACTGGCTAAAATATTGCTCTACACTGTAACTTTTAAATGTAATATTTCTGTATGAATGTCGCCTGGTAGCGTGGGTTTGAGTAGCATTGTGTATGAGTGAACCCACTGGCCTCTACCATTCACTGGCCTCCCTCACAGCCCTTTAAAAAACAAAGCCTTAAGTATTTGCTCCTTGAAACTTTCCTTAATGAGCATGACTTAAAATCTTAAGACATCATACAAAGTAAAAAAAAAAAAAAAACCACAACAAACTTACAAGTTTTGAAGTGATGTCCTAGTTGGCTAGAGATTCTTAAAGTTTTTGGTAAATGGGAAAATTAGAAAACATTTATTTGTATTTTTTAATTTAGACGTGTAGTTCTGGGCTGTAACAAATACTTAGGTTTCCAAGCTTAGCGCAGAGTACGTTTTCTGATTCCTTGCATAAGATAGTACACTTACACCATGTCATTATTTAAATTCTTTTCAGTGTACTATAAACCGTTCTTTAGTCAGACTGCTTAACTTTGCTAAAGAGTTATCACTAAAGACGGATTAAATTATGTGTTGGCTTGTGTTGCCTTATATTTAAAAGGAAAAATTGCCTGATTGTGTTATGCCAAATGATAGCAACATGAAGTCCTAATTTATTGTTTATAATCGTATTCCTGCAGTCTTTGTGAAAACTGGTAAATATACATCTATGAAAGAACTAAAACCCTAAGGCTTTTCATGCAATATTTTTCTGAATACATTATCTTGGAAGCTAAGGATTGAGTCTGAAGCTGCTTCCCTTCAGTTCTCCCTGTTGTTTTCCCCCTTCTCCAAATTGATCTAGGGTTGTGCTAGGACTTTAACATTTCCCCCTAGTTTAGTTATTGGAAGGAGTTCTGCTACCTGAAATACCTACTTTTTATTTGGTTCATTAGTCTGCTGCAAATACAGCCCCTAGACACTGATTTTTCCTTCTGCCCTCCCTCCCCAAAACAAAACTAGTGAACCCCGTGCTTTGGCTCTTGGCGAAAAGTGATTTAAATGTCTGAAGTTATGCTAATGTTACAGTAAGCCATGGAAGACAGTCTGTCTTGTCATGAATTGTTCTGCACTCATTACTGCAAATAGAATCCTCACCTTTGAGACTTTGGTCTGGTGCAGAAGGACTGAGAAGCAAAAATATTCAAGACCCGTCCAGGTAGGACATTCCATTAGCCTGTTCACAAAAATTGCTATTAAAATCTCCGATATTTCATCTTGTGCGGAGAGTCGGATTTTTATTGGAACAAGCGCTGCGTTTCTGCGGCGGGGTGTAACCGCTTCTCCTCCTTGTACTTCAGAGATTTTTACCCTTTGTATCAATAGTATTGTTCAATTACAGGTTGTGTCTATAAGCATGTAAAAGACCTTTCGTCCAACATGAACCCAGCAGTAAGGGTCCAGCGCAGGGCCCTCTGGACATGCACTGTTGCTCAAATGACACAGAATAGAGTTTGATATTTAGTATCATTTGGTAGTATCTTGGCTTTTGGGAGCGGGGGGGGGGGGGGAGGGAGCTGTCTTTTATGCAGAGTGATGCTCTACTGTGTTTAGTAGGAACCATGCTTTTGACTTCTAGCACAGACTTTGCGGTATTCATTGAGTTGGATGTTTTTTCCCTCTGGTTTTCCTGGTTCTAAGGAAAATAGAGTATTCTCTTCCTAGTCTTTGCAGTAGGCACTGCTGTGAAAATGTCCCTAGCTAGGGAAACACTGTTTTGCATGTGTGTTAATTTGTATGCTGCTTTTGTAACCGCTCCAGGCTCTCATTTGGGTTTTTGACATAGATCGGTGTCTCCCATTGGAATTGACACCAGTCTTCCAATTAGAGCATTTCCAGCTTTCCACTTCTGATCTCTGATGCAGACATCTTGTGTCCCCATTTCCATGTCCATGTGTGGGTGAAACCAGTCTTAGAATTCCTCCATAAATGTCTGCCCTTTAGGGGAAAGAGCCAGGACTAGACATTTCATGGTTTTCTCAGGAAGCTTGGACTATTTTACACTGTGCTGTGAGCACCATCATCTATCCCAGCCTCTAGCACTACCCGGCAAAGCAGAATATTGCTATCGGACGCCTGTGCTAATTTCTAATGACTTCCTTCTGCCCGCAGTGAAGGGGTAAGAGTGAAAGTGATGTAAAGGCTCCCAATGGGCTATTTCCATCTTGGTCTATTGAGCAGCGGCTGCGAAGCTGTTAAATCATCAGCCCAATTTATTACAGTCCAAAGTTAACGTTTTATAATGACGTGGGTTTTCTTTCTTGGAGAACCTTTCCTGAAGCTGCTGATGGGAAAGATGGCTTCACAGAGGGTGGCCATTCCCCTAGAAGCCAAACGTTTGCTGTGGAGCAACTCGGCCATTGCTGCTGTATTTCATTAAAACACACTGATCACACACGCCGCTTCTTGTGTGCTAGCGGTATCATGAGAATCTTTCTTTTCCTTTTGGTCTACAGGAAAAATAAAGCTGAGGAGTCCTGTTCCCTCTCCTCCTTCTGCTGTTTGAGCAGGGTGGATGAGCGAAGCTGGCTTGGCCTCTGGCTCTGGTGAGGGGACCTGGCCCATGTGGCCCATGGGGGTTCTGCATGGCCTACGAGACACTCGGTTTGTCGTCATCCATGCACAGGGTGGCCCGTCTGCTGGTTTGTCTGCGTAGGTGTTTTCCCCTCCCGGTATCACTCAAGTGACACTTACGTGAAGTGAGATGGGTGCTGATTGCACACAACGTTTGTGAGAGCTGTGTGCTCCCTCTGCAGCTAATCCCAGCACTGCTGCGGTGGAGTCGGCACCCCTGCGAACTCTAGGTTCACGCGCACGGTTAGCAAAACTGCCACCTCACAGGAGACGCTTGGGTAGGGCAGCCTTGCGGCTCATTGGGATGGAGGAGGGCGACTCGTGCGGCCCACTCCCTAGCCTGTGGTTTCCCACTGATGCCAGGCTGGATGTTTGTTGTAATAGTCCCAGTTTCTGGCCAAATACATTCCCAGCAAAAACGTGGGGAAAGGGCTGCATGTGAGACTTCCCGCCATTTAAGGCCATCCTAGATAGCCTTCTGCAGTAAAAAGCACTGAAATCTGGAGACCGTTATGCCATGCAGAAAGCTCCCGGCCAGAAATGGTGACATTTCTGAAGTCTTGTGTTTGAGCTGGGTTTTCTCCGTTCCTGGTCTTGCTATCTCAGGGTTTGGGGGTGGCATTTCCCTTGTAGTTTGATGTCTTGCACAGCGTGTTCTTTACTTGAAAACTTAAGGTACAGTTAGTGGCCTCCTGTCCCCTCTCTCCACTGCCTGCCTGCTGATCTCTCCCTAGCGCCAGGGTGAGTACTGGGCAGCTGGAAGGCTTTGCGTGAAGCAGAAATGAGGTGCACATGCAGGTTGAGCATCTGTTCAGTCACCATCTTTTGGGTGGGTTCAGTGTGAAACTCGCCACTGACCCATCGGTGTGTGGTTCGGTGTGCCCGAGAACTGGAGTGGGCATTGGCTGATCCCACACACTGAATCCCCTTCTAAATCAGCATAAAGGAATATTGGGGCAAATCCATCTCATTAGCCTATTGGAGACGACCCACTGGGCCTGGGTAGCAAACTCTGAAGTAAACTGTCTTGCAACACTCAGATTAGAAAATGGGCCAGGTGGTTCTAGCAGGAAAGACTAATCCATCTGCTTGTCCAGCCCACAATCTGACTCACCAGTTAGTGAAACGTGCTGGCATGGCCACTTACTCCTCCGGTGAAGACTAGGAGGAAGAGTCAGGGTCAGATTTTAACGTACTCTGCAGGGGCATTTTAACACCACTTGCTTTAACTAGGCAGGATACAAGCCTTCGAGGAGGACACAGCTTGTGCTAACTGCAGGTCGGCTCCATTGCTCGTCTGCTGTGACTTTCAGAAGGGACTAGACTGGACGCCTCCCCACATAAGGGCAGCCTACATCGAAGGTGGCATGCCTCTGCGGAGAGGGTTATTACGGCAGCCCCCTTTCTTCCTGTTAAGGATTTGCAGCAAGGAACTGGGAGTTTGTGGTTCTGCATTTACTAGTGTAATTCTGAAACCTGGATTGTAAAAGGGAGCTTAGATCAAGTTTGCAGGATTCTCTTACTTGGCTGAAGGTTATTGCCAAGGGTGCTGCCTCCCGTTGATGATGAACATCCATCTAATTTTGTGATGAAACTAGAGCACAGGCAAGGTCTGTCTCTCCTTGAGTGGGGAAGGGCGCTGTATTGTCTCCAAAGCCGTCCCTCCTGGGCTTGCTGCTAATGCGCCCAGTGCGCGTTTAGATCCCAGTGCTCCGAGCTTGTATCTCCAGGTGTAGCTCGTCATTCCCCTACCTGCGAGCTCTGGGGATTGGGCTGGTGCAGACATTTGGCTTCTAGCGGAGAAGATGGCATATGCCACCGTTGTCCTTCTCTCCTCTTCTCGTTGACTCTTGCCTCCTAGGGGAGGAGGTGCCTTGAAATGCATCTCCTTTGCATGAGGAGTGACTGAACTGCTTGCGCAGATGGTCCTTGTCACTCAAAGGAACCTGTTGGAATGCAACCTGCTCTGGGGGGCTGTAACTGACGGGCACAGGACAGGGCCATCTCCCTGCGGCCCATTAAGGATGTTAAGTAGCGAGTAAATGACTAATGGTGCACTCGGCACAATTTGCATCAAGTGCACAGTAAGTCGATAAGGGGCCGCTGTGGCTCTGCAGTTCAAATGCAGTAAGCGCTAGGTGGGCAGGCAGCCTGGCTCTACTACAGTTAAACTGCAGCAGGGGTACGTCCTAGATCCGGCATGAGCCGGCACTGCAGCAGGGGTACGTCCTAGATCCGGCACTGCAGCAGGGGGACGTCCTAGATCCGGCACTGCAGCAGGCCGGCTTGCACCGGGTCCTGCACTGCGCTTCTGCCTTTTAAACTTAGTAAGAGCTGAGCCGGATGGCCCTTACTACATTTAAAAGGCAGAGCCGCTGCCCCCGTACCATGGAGACAGTGCTATGTGGAACCAGCTTTTACGCTGGCGCTCGCCCCCTGCCCCCAAGCTCCTGCTCCCCGCACCTTGCTGCCTCTGATACTCACATTTCCCCCTTGCTGCTTCTGTATCACTTGACTACCCAATAAGCCGACTTCGACTACTCCTTTGCATCCCTGCTGTCCATGAATTGCTTTCTAAGAGCTTCGGATGGATGGATGGATGGATGCCTTAGAGCTGTAGCTGGGAGACCCTGCTTACGGATACCAAGTGCCAATCAGCTGGGGAACGTAGTAAACGCAAACGAGGGACATCAGAAGCACCTAGCACAGTGTCCAAATGGTGCAATCTGCAAGGAGGCGGAGTCTCCCCAGATGCTGTTTTCATCAGCAAGGGTGCGGGTGGGGTGCTGTATTCACTGCTCCACTCTGAATCCCCTGGCGCTCGTTTGCTGGGAAGGTGCTTGAGTTCTCGATGCAGGACAGCACACGGATCAGCTTAACTCAAAGCATGGGCAGGTTCACGGCCTCCATCTAGGGGGACTGTTAAAAGCGAGTGTGCTGGTGTAGCAGCCCTGCCAAAGTCCTACCGCCTTACAGACCGCAGCATTGGCTTCCCTTGTGCAGCCAAGCGGACGAGGCTTGGCTACTTCATGACAGAAAACCCTTTGCTGCAGGGCTTTGGCTCCCCAGCAGGAGACTGGTGTAACCCCTTCACGCCTAACCAGTTTTGAGCCTCAAGGACAGCAGTAGGAAGGCAGCGTGATAGTCAGGTCCCCTGCTATGGCGCTCCTCTTGCAGCAAGCTGTGGGTTTTGTCTTGGCCACAGTGGCTGAAGGAGAGCCCCAGCTGGAAACAGGCTCTTTGCCTTGCTCCAGGTCCTAAGAACATCAGAGCAGCCAGACGGGGTCAGACCAAAGGTCCATCCAGCCCACTGTCCTGTCTGCCCACCGTGCCCAATGCCAGGTGCCCCAGAGGAAGGGAACACAACAGGGAATCCCTCCCGTTGCCCATTCCCAGCCTGACAAACAGAGGCTAGAGACACCTGCCCAGCCTGGCTAACAGCCATTGATAGACCCAACCTCCATGAATTTATCTAGCTCTTCTTGAACCTTGTTAAAGTTCTGGTCTTCACAACATCCCCTGGCGAGTTCCACAGGTCAACTCTGCACGGTGTGAAGAAATACTTCCTTTTGTTTGGTTTTAAATCTGCTACCTATTTTCATTTGGTGACCCCTAGTTCTTGTGTTATGAGAGCAAATAAAT